GCCTGAAAACCACACTTGGCATCCCAGCCAGGTCAGACCACACCAAATCTCTGTGAGCATGTGACAGGCGGCTGGTGCCCAGGCATGAGGAGCACTGACTCATCAACAGGAAGGAAGATTGAAAAACCTCAAGGAAGCGTTTGGAATCATAGTTCATATGCTGAGGCACAGAGGTGCCCTGGACCAAAGGGAGCACTGGTGTCTGGGGCAGTGGGTACGCGGGTGGGAGCCCCTGGGGGCGATGGGTAGATGAGAGAGAGCCCGTCTGTGTGAGCAGCTGCTGCTGGGCTCCAGTGGACCCCAGGGAGTGAGTGTGAGGATGGCACTGCCGCAGGGCCAGACTGGCCTCAGGCATGCAGTCCAGTGTCGGGCTCTCACCTCCGGGCATGGCAGCAGGTGTGGCTGGGCTATGGCTTAGTCATCATTGTGTTCTGTCATAGGACCTGCTCCGCCTGTGCTCTCACTTCTTTTTTCTACTCCAACCCTGAGCTCTGGAGTAGAGGCGAGGGTTCCACTAGCTGCCCTCCCTTGTCCGCCTCCATTCTGGCAGTTGGTGTCACTTCTTCTGGACAATTTCCAGGGACAGGAACATGGTCGCCTCCCCCTCTGCCCACTCTCTGGCCAGATCAGCCCTTGGTCTTGGGCCCTGGCCACAGCTCCTGCCCCCAAGGGCCCAGCACTCAGGTGGGTTCCTTCTCAGGTGGGAGCAGGGGTTAGAGCAGCTGTAACAGTCCCAGGAGCTCCCCACCCTGATTTAGTACAAACTGAAAATTCAGTGGGGTGCTGACATCACCTTCCAGTACCTTCTCTTTAGGGAGCCGAGTTAAGCGTGGAGCAGACACTGTGGATGTGCCTTGATTTACTGTCTTCCTGTCCTAGTTTTCTTGTCCTCTGTTGTCTGGTCTGGGCCCAGAGTCCCTGCTTCAGGGCCAAGGAGGCAGGCTGCCCTGCAGATCCCACGCCTCCTGCCCAGACTTCTCTGAGGCTTAGCTCTCCTGTCTGGGCTGGAGGTTATAGGTATTGAGCGCCTTTCACAGTGCCTTGCTGGATGGAGACAGATAGCTGGTGTCCACTTTAGCTTCTGCAGAATGTGGTTGTTCACAATTTGGTCAACACCGGGCAAGGGCAAGGGTGCCCGCTTTACCTGGTGTCCTGGGGCAGCTGTTCTTGCTCAGGGTGCAGCCTCTCCCTCCTTACCACCTGCCTGCTCTGCCCTGCACTGGTCCTGCTGAGTCTGTGCCAGTGGGAGGGCATCCTGTACTGTCTTGAGCTGAAAGATTTTTTGATCAAGATTTAAGTTGAAACTTGCAGCCCTCCCCTCAGAACCAAGACACGCCACCATGAGACACCCAGGTAGCAGCATTGTCCCTGGGCAGCACCATGAAGTGCCCTGCCCGTCCTGTACCCACATGGTGGATATTTGGGTCCGTGCCATTTGGCCATTTCATGCCCCATCTAATTTAGGCTGTGCTGTCTCCTCTGACCCCCCTAACAGTCACAGACTGGTATGAAAGGTGCGTACGCATCTGTGGGAAGCGCTCGGGTCCTAAGAAATAGGAGCAGGTGTCCACACACCCTTCCTAAGCGGGGAAGCATGTCAGACGGACTGGCGAGCATCATCCTCATCGGCAATCAGAGAAGTGCAAGGAAGAGGGGTGCCCCATTTCTCTTCGTTAAATGAGTAATTGTTTAGCTGATAAACCTGGTGTTAAAGAGGAGGAACGATAAATACCTTCATCTGTTGACCAAGGGTCTATAAAGTAGACGAACCTGTCACAGGCCACTTTGACAGTGGGCGTTAAACAGCCTTGAAAATGGTCTGTGGACTGGTACTTGTGGCTCTAAGAATCCAGCCTAAAAACGGAAGTCTAAGAATGGAAACCAATTAGCACAAATACATCTATAGTATTATTATTTGTATAACGAACTGGGAAGGGGATTGGATGTTTAGAAGTCAGGGAATGGCTAAGTAGACTGAGGCCTATCTTCTCGTGGGAATAGCATGAGCATGTGGCCGTAAGAGGGATGTAGGTTAAGGGAAAGAAGGGTGTGAAATTGAAGTACAGTAAGATTAAAAAAAGTATAAAAACCAAGGAAGAGTTGAGAATTTATGTCTACCCCAAAACCTGAACGTGGATGCTTATGGCAGCTCTCTTTTAATTGCCAAAACTGGGCAGCACCCAAGATGTCCTTCAGTAGGTAATGGATAAATAAACCCGCACGTCCAGAAAATGGGACATTTCTCAGTGCTAAAAAGAAATGAGCTATCAAGCCATGAAAAGACATGAGGAAATTTAAATGATTCCAACCATATGACATTCTGGAAAAGGCAAAGCTGTGGAGAGAATAAATAGATCGGTGGTTGGCAGGAGTTGAAGGGTGGAGGGAGAAGGAGGTGGAGCACAGAGGATTTTTGTGGCAGTGAAACTACTCTGCATGACACTACAGCAGTGGACACATTATACTGCATTTGTCTAAACTCATAGGATGTACAACACCAAGAGTGAACCCTACGGTAGATCGTGTACTTTGGGTAATGATGTGTCAATGTAGTTTTATGAATTATAACAAATGTGCCACTCCGGTGGGGGATATTGATAATCGGGGAGGCTGTGCATCGGGGAGAGGTGGGCAGGCATATATGGGAAACCTCTGTACCTTCGCCTCAATTTTGCTGTGAACCTAAAGCAAAAGGAAAGAAAGAATGAAGTCTGTAAGAAAAATGCAGCAGGGGGAAAAGACTGGAAACAAAGGCCTGTGTGAGGTATTTATGAAGGCTGTATTTGGATTATGATAGACTTATTTTCTTTTATCTCCATGCCTGTAATTACCATTTTAAGAAATGAAAATAAATTAATTTATAATTTATAATGGAAGGAAAAAAATAAACATTTTAGGAATTTAAAAAGCTATGAAAGAACTGTACATGTGGCTGTATATTTAAACAATTTAGAGAGTTTCTGATCCTGTGTTTTCTCTTAGCAGCCAGAGCTTTGTAAACACTTATTCTTTTCCGGCTCTTTGTGAACTGACATAGTTGACCGTGTCCTCTAAAGCTATGGCCAGTTGGAATGTCTGCCCCCAGTAAAAATAAGCCATCTTAGGGGAATCTCAGTGTGAACTGTATTCCTGGAATTTTTTCCCACAGTGTGGGAAATTCAGTCTTTGTTTATTTTTAAAGTTTTAGGACTATATTGTAATAGCTGATTTTCTTTTATTAAATAGATCTAGATATTTATTTGTGTTTAATTTACTGTTTTTCAAAGATTATCTAATCAAGTGGTTTAATAACTAAAATTAAAAGGTTAAATAATTTAAAATACACACATATATGTAGTGATGATTCTCCATACCCAGTTTCCCATCTGTTTAGTTCCTCAGCACCACATTCTAAGGAACCATTATTTTTAAATTCTTGTGTATACTCTCGGAGTTTCTTTATGCATGTATGTAGAAATACGAATACATAGTCCTATTTTCCCCTATTTTTATTCAAAAAGTATCACATTTTACACATTTTTCCAGCACCTAGGTTTTTCACTTAGCTATGTATATTTTCTTACCAGTACACAGTAGATGCTTCATTCCTTTTTACGGCAAGAGAGGACCCCATGTGTGGATTTGTGGAGTCACCGTAATTTTCTCAGCCAGTCCCCTGCCAATGGAAAGCTGGGTGGTTTTCAGTCTATTGCTGTTACAACAGCACTGTAATCCCGCATTCATACATTTTCGTACACATGCAAGAATATTCACAGAATGAATTCCTGGCAGTGAAATTGCCAATTTAAGAAGCGGAAGCTTCTGTGATTCTGAAAGCCCGAGTTACTCTGGTTTCCAAGCGTTTCCCATCAGGAAGGGTTTACATGCGTACCAGCGATGCCTCTGAGCGCCCGATTCCCCACGGCCTTGCCAAGGAGCGCTTGCCTAAAACTCGGGGTGTCTACTCTGATGAGTGGAGAAAGGGAGTGCAGTGCGTTTTATCTTGGATCCCTCTCATGGGGAGTTTTAGCTTGTGTCTTCTTGTGTGAAAACTGTCTATTTACTACCTTCATTCATTCTTAGGCAGTGGTCATATTCGTATGGATTTCTAGAAATTTTCATGTATTAGGAAGAGAGCCTGTTGTGGTAACTGTACCTTCTTGGCTGGAGAATGTGCCCAAAGACAAGAGATTCTAAAGGGGCTTCCCTGTGGGTTGCTGGAGCCCGTAAGATGCATTTGAAATAAGACCAACGGCCATTCAAGAAAACATGTGGACCCCACCCCACTTGTAGTATCAAGAACAGATTTCACATCAGAACAGTCTGTAGCTTTTGCGTTGGCTGCTTACCGACCTTGTCACTTAGAGAAGGTCATTTAGCGCCTGTAAGTCTTGGCTTCTCACCTGTGCTGTAAGGCTACCAGCCCCACACTTTGGGTGGTCCTGGGGAACAGGTGGACAGGATCTGACGCCGCAGTGCTTGAAAACGGCACTCCTGGGCTGACCTCAGCCTTGCTGAAGGTAAGGCCGCAGTAGGAGAAAGCACGAACAATCACGGGGCCCTCAGGACTCCCAGGGGCCTTTTCCACTCACACTTGTAAACCACAAAGATCTGTGCAAGGACCTCTGGTCTTAGGGGAGCTCAAAAAGAAGTCTAGTGATATCTTAACACCCTACTGGTGATGCAGCCAGACCAGCCTGTGCAACCAGGTGTAAGCCACACATCTGTACATCCCTAGGCCATGTAGAGAAGCTGGCCCTGGTGTCTCCAGGGACTTTTGAACTTTGAACAACACCTTATAAAGCACTAACTAGCCCACCTCATTGTCCTTATCTCAGCCAAGGGTCAGAACCAGACCTCTAGACATCCCTGGAGATGAGCAAAGGGCAGGCAATCCCAGTTCAGGGTAAGATAACCCTGCCTTACGAGGTTCACAGGGAGGACTTGGAAACTGCTCTTCCCTTTCCTTTCCCGCGGAGCACACCTGCCTTTGCTTTGACCAGGACCCTTTTCTTCTACAGCTCAGGGGAGACTGTCACCAGCGTGACCAGCTTGGCTCCTTTGCAGCCCAAGAAGGGCAAGAGGCGGAAGGAGAAGGCCGACGTTCCTCCCGCCGTCCCTGCCAAAGGTAGGTGGCTGCCTGCAGTTACCCACAAGGACACCCCCACGCGGACCCCGAGTAGGCGGGGGTGTGATGTGGGCTCGGGACAGGGAGAGTAGACAGATGCAGGACATGGCATCTGGTGATGCATGGTCCAGAGGCCCCCACCTAGATTCCAGGCAGAACGATATATGGTCCAGAGGCCCCCACCTAGATTCCGGTCAGAACGATATATGGTCCAGAGGCCCCCACCTAGATTCCGGTCAGAATGATATATGGTCCAGAGGCCCCCACCTAGATTCTGGTCAGAACGATATATGGTCCAGAGGCCCCCACCTAGATTTCGGTCAGCCCACCTCACAGAGCCCCATCCGTGGGGTGGGCTGGGGGTGCTGTTGGCCCAGCATGGCTTTAGCAGGGAGGCGGGAGTTGGCACCCGCATATTCCACAGTGCGCTTCACTATCGACGTGATCCGCGTGGTGGGGAGGGGCAAGGGCTGTCACATCGTGGGTCAGTCAAGGGAGAGAAGCCTCTTCGATTGTTCTAAAGTTGTAAACCAGCTATGTAATTTATTTTGGATTTGTTCTGAGGATGAAACAAGGGTTATCCTTTGGTTCCAGTGATGACTTAGAGGAGCGTAAATAAGGATGGGTATTTCTGGAGGAGAGAACTGCGTATGTCTTAGGAAAACTAAGACCATCTAGAGAGAGTTTCTAAAATAACTGTGGCCAATGCAAGAGAAGTTCATGCCCAAAGAACTGGAACTAGAGTTGGAGGCACTAGGATTGCCCAGGTGAACAAGTTAATAACAAGGCAAGGTACACTTTGTCCCTCAGTTGGGGCCCCCTGGGTACATTGGGCCCTGGGATTCAGTCCGACCACGTGCAGGCTGAGCCGTCACTGGGGGCAGAGGGCTGGAGGGCATGGTCCCTGTGAGGCCTGACGGTAGACGTGGGAGCGCGGGGGCCGAGCCACTGCCTGGGCCGCTGCCTTGTCCCGTTCGGTCAGGGCCGGTCGCGCCTCCCTTACCAACGGGAGAGTGAGCCTCAGAGCAAGGAGCAGAGCCTGGCTTTGAAGTGAGGTCTGTCTGACTTTCAAGGCCAAGTTCAAGTCTCATACCATCTAAGTACTAGTTCTGTGACATTAGAGAAAGGACCTCCGTTTCTTTCTCAGTTTCCACCCTCCCTGGTGACCAGCGAGCGCTGCTGTGAGGTCAGAGGCCTTTGCTGTCAGCGTCAGTGCGCAGTTAGGACCCGAGGAAGGAGCCGGCCTCGGCCTTGACCCATCCCGCCTGTTTCTCACCTCACACCTGACCTCTGTGTAGAGGGCAGTGCTCTATGCAGAGTTGTTTTGTGGAACCAGATGCGGGGAGAGGGTGACATGTCCAAAGATGAGGCACCCGCTGGCACCCAGATCAGAGCCTGCAGCTTCTCCGTGCGGGGAGGGAGGGGCCCGGGAGTCTCCGCAGAGAGCGCCTGTGAGCCCATAGTGGGTGTGAAGGGTCCTGGGAGGAATGACAAGCTGAACCCTGGACACACTTCCACAGCTCCTGTGGCCGCTGCGCCCCACAAACCGAAGCTGCTGAAGCCACAAAGGAAGGTCGCCCTGGTGAGTAATGAAAGTCTGTGTCGCTGTCCCTCAAGCCTCGCACACACTTCAGGGTCCACGTGGTACCTTTGTTGGCTCAAAGCACGAGGAAGGTCCTTGGTGCTTTCATCCCGCGTGGGGCCTCTGCCTCCTTGTTGGCTTTTGAGCCAACCTCCCTGCATGAGTTCTTCCTTACTAGAAATGCCGCTTTTCCGAAGAAAGAAGTCACCCTTGGGAATGTATAAAGTAGAAAGTGGACCTGCTTGTATAAATTTACCTGGTAACCACAGTGCAGACCTTAAAAGTGTTAGGGCTTTTTATTCTGAAGTAATTTTAGGTTACAGAGAGTTGTGGGGCTGGCGCAGAGTTCCCAGCCCAGGTCATCATCGGTTACTGCACTTCGCACTTACCCTGGATTCCTGCAGTTTTCAG